TCTATAAGACCTATCATAACTATCATTAAGTTCATTTTCCAGCGTGGGTAATAAGCTTAACAATATACCTTCAACCATACCGTTAGAATCACCAACGATATTATTATTAATACCATCTATACTATAGTTACTAGCATTCAATTTCCTGAACATTGGTACTATGTAATATTCTATTAAATCAAGATATTCTTCAATCACTAACATTTTGCAAGAAAGTGAGAATTCGTATATTCCAATAGTCAGTAAAGGAAATATATTACGAATATACTCCAGCCTATCAAATGAAATGGCTGATTTATTATTACTAGCAGCATCATGGTCATTCATATTCTTGTTAATAGCATCTTTATGGCCCCTTATTGCTATCACTCCTTTACCTATCTTTTCTATCACTTTCATGTATAATCTTATAGCTCTAATATGTACTCCTGCAGGTAAACTGTCATCTAGGCACTGATTTAGTCTTTTCACCAAAATAGGTACACAGCAAATATATTCTACCGAATATTTATTCAAGGTATCCTCCAGTGAGCCTAATATGGAAATAAAATCTGACCATTCAGATGCCTGTGAAAACGAATGGAGTTTCTTAGAAAATTCAGTCGAAAAAGATGGATCAATCGATTTAGGAAAGTTGCTAATTTCAATAGATAATGGTAATAGTTCATTAGGCCTGATGAAATCATTATTAGAGAAATTATTGGGTGTAAGAATTATATTGTTTTTAATGGCATCAGTAATATTGTTCTCTTTTCTACTATCCTTAATTAAATTTTCTTCATCGACACTATTATCAGTCATAATCTTGCTTTCCATTTCAGATTTATTCTCATCCATTATCAACCGATTATTGCCCTGTTTACTAATTACCTCTTTCGTTTCCATATTTGATTTCTCTATGTTTTTCATTGAATTATGTATTTCGGTACTAGACTCAATTATAGAGCTATGATCTTCACTTTGGGAAACATTTAGCTCACTTATTCCCTCAGAAAGTTGAGACAAATCATGCTTATTGTTGCTTTTTTCCTTATTTTCTTGTTGCTTCTTCTTTGTTTGTTCAGCGTCAATCATGGGCAATCAAATTGAAGGAATACTAAACTAAAAGTACTGAAAATAAAGAACACTTTCATGGATATCAATTGAAGTAAATTACAACATACTCTTGATCAACTCTCATATGTATCAAAACAAATTAGTTGTGAGAATATTCAAAGTATAATTATTAAAGTGGCAATCAATACATTACATGGAAACATTCTATTTTATTGAAGATAACATCTTTCACACTTAAAATCATAGTAAAATTTCCATTAAGAAGAGAATTGTCGATAGCATGTGTTTACATAGCATAATACCAACCCCTTTATATAGCTTGAAGATTGAGAAATTAACCCTTAATTATAAAATGGTTTTAAGGAAAAATTCCATCTTTATATATTTATCTATCTGTTATAGTATTATCACATCTCCAATGACTTTACGATCTTTAATTTATCTTGATCTACTAGAAGAAGTCTCACTTGTTGATCTGAAATACCAGGCATTATCTATAACAATTGAAAAGACAACTAAACTACAAAAGGATTTGTCTAATATGAACCTAGTCATTCGTACAGAAACACCCATTGCTTTATTGGATATTCTATTATTAACACAAAATCAGATTTCTTCGTGTGATCTACTCGAGAGTGATAGAGTAAATGAGAATTTAATTAAGTTAAAAGATTTAAAAATGCTTGAAAAAGAGGATAAAGATTCATGCATTATTGGAAATACAAGGAGTGATAAAGTTGAGAAATCTCATGAAACTATTGAGCATATACAAATCCATTATGGGTTATTTCACTCCTCAACTATTGCCTGGCACTGCCAAGCCCACGAATTGCATGCTTAATAAAGATTTGAATTGCACAACACAGTACTATTTGGAACTCAAATCAGAGAATATGAAGCTTGAAAGTATTTTAAAAGATAGTTTTAGCGTTTCAATTTCTAACTCTTCTTTAGAATCCAATAAAAAATTAATCCTGATTTATTATAAGGATAAAGACAAGAGATTGTACTATACCATATCAAAAAATGTAAATTCGTCTGGAAATGAGGATGATTTGAACTGGTTTATTTCTTATATTCAAAAATACCAATATACTCTCAAAACTCGAATTGCCTCAAAATATGTTAGCATTCTGTTAACAGTATATAATAGCATCGATGATACTGTAAAGATCAATAATTCTATTCCACAAGAATACCATATCGGTCTGATTATTGTTTTTGGTTTGACTATATTCTTTTTATTTTTTTCAAAATACGATCCTTTTTGGCTTGCATTTAGTTACTTCGCAGCCAATACAGAGCCAGTTTCATCTGTGGATAATACGGATGTTTAAGTTAATGATATTTAATAAAGAGATTATTATTGCAAATTTAAGCATCAATCCAGTTTTTCTATTATTCTTTTACTTATAAAATATATTAGTTAATTCCATTATGCAAACAAAGATGTTTATTCAGCCTACAATATAACCTGCTTGGTGCTTTCCTCCACTTCTTTGCTTTCATTTAAAATATCATTTTCTAAAGCTTTTCCAAAAGATTCCTCCTTTCTGGAAAACCTTGATTCATTATCTTCCAACCTATCACTCTCAAGATTAAGTGGCTCCTCACGATCACGATTGTTCTCACGTGCCTTTGTCTTAATATTCTCCAAAAGCTCCTTTTCACTGTTCTTATTTTCTGACATAGCTTTCACTTCCTCCTCTAACTTTTTGAGTTCCATTTCTTTTCTATATTTTTCTTTGGTAATTTTGTGGCGCAATTCAATCGTCTTATCTCTAAACTCTCTAATTGTTTTGAAATTATTAGAGTGTTCTTCATACCATTCTTCCATTTGAGTTAAATCAATATTGCCAATTTGCTTTGCTTCTGTAAGTGCTTTCTCAAATCCACTTTTTAGTGAATTTCTTAGGGAGGAATTGGTTATTGCATCATTATCTTTCTTCAAAAGCATAAAGTACTCCTTCTCTAACTCATTGCTTTTACTGTATAAAACATCATTAAATGTTCCGATTTCTGAACTATTGGTGCCTTGTTCTAACTCTTGCCACATGCTAACCAAGTCCTCCTTCTGCAGCGCAATGGCTGCAAAATCTTCCGAACTAAGGGTTTTAAATTGAAGATAGGATTCAGACTCTGCAATTTTTTTTGCATGTTTAATGGTTTGAATTCTACTTCTTAAACCTATATATTGTGCGCTAAAATTCGTTGACATTTTAACTATGCTATCATCTTCAATTTCAATATTATCCATCTTTTCATTTGTTCGTAATATATCCATCGTGCTGATTTGTGTTAGTTTTACTGGTATTCTTTCCATAAAATTAAAATAATCAGTTATGCAAAATACATTGGCATTCTTCTTGGTTAAGCCAACAACCTCTTTAAACCTTAATTCTATTTCGTTCCTTACTCTTTGAAAAATATATTTTGCATTAAATTTCAAAGAGTGGATGACTCCTATCTGCTTACCATTTTTATAGAAATCAATGCCTGCATCTTCAATTTCATCAAAATAAGGAATCTGCTTAAGCAGCAGTCTTCGCAATCTGCTGGCATCTGCATAGCATTTGCCAGGGTCATATCTAGGCAAAATAGTTATATCCTTGTCTGTAATATAAGAAGCCTCCTCAATTGCACTTTGTAATGCATTAACCATTTCTTCCTCAACAATACTTTCAATTGAAAAGTCCGAAAATCTTGAAATTATATTGTGCCCATTACATACTATTTTGAGTCCAGCCTTATCTCTCTTTGCTGTCACCTTTTGATGAGCCAAGGCAGATAATTCTTTATAATCATCTTCATTGTTCAAATTATTGATATTCTTATCATTATCTAATTTGCTCACATCAGAGTTATCTTTTATCTCCTCAACATCAGCAGATTCATCTTTCTTCTCGATAGCATTACCTGGCTTAATGTCTAACCCTTCAGACGTTCCTGAGGTTGTATCTTCTCGACTTCGTTCAACTGAAGATTTTCTAATAATTTTATATTTAGACAATGTCATATTTCTTCCTCTAAAAGAATACACATCACACTCATTAAGATGTGGATATTTCTGCGCGATAAGTATAGCTGCTGATGTAGATTCTGGTATAACAATGGTGCTCAAATTTAAATTACAGAATATTTTTGCGATATTTTCATTAGTCTTTTTATCAAAATAGTTTCTTGTAGAAACTGTTGTTGGAATTCTTTGATCTGTATCTATTCTTCCGAACATTGTTTCATAATAGAAGCTTGCTAATGTCTTCATTTCAACTTCCATTCCATGAATAGAATGCATATTTTTGGAACTGTCGGCCATACCCTTCCCATCACTGAATTCGATATTTTTATCTGATTGAACTTCTTCGCGATTATTGATCTCATTCTCTGAAGCTTCAAATATTTCATTGAAATCCGTCAAAGAAGTGGGAGAGGACTTTTCAGACAGCTTATCCAGATATAAATTCCTAACATTGAAATAGGTTTTTTTAACATCTGGTGATTTTGTTCCATTTGCCTTGGTAATTCTATAATATGGTGTTTTTGAATAATCTACAGAAATATGTGCTGCTAATATATTATTAAGATAAATCATCATAATTCTTAGAAATGAGATTGCTAACATGGAGGGTAAAAAATTAAGGAAACAACAAAAGAATCTATCTATATAACTATATCAAAGGCAATAGAAAAAATTGTTACATTTCAATCACAGCTAAATATGAATTCTACTTTCTAATCTATGCTTTAAGTTTCGGAATTGTGACTAAAAGTTGGAATTTTGATGAGAAACACTGTTTTGGACAAAATAGCTGGGATAAATATCTTGAGATGGTGAAGTACTAAATTTGTTGAACTGGAGATATTACTCATTTTTTAGAAGATATAACTGTATTAAAAAGCCAGAATACTCAGTATAACCACTATTATTAAATCTAGGCTTTGCTATGATGTATTCCAAGATAATATATTATTTATAAAGTTAAAATAAATAGTATTACTGCTTGGATGTTCTATATAATTTGAATTCTTCCATAAGAGTTTAGACTCAGATAGGAGTATCATTTGAATCAAAATTTATTTAATCCTATGTATAGAAATGGTTTTCATAATTTTGAAATATTTTGAAAATTTTATAGAATCCTCATGAAGACGTCTGACAAATTGAAAAAAATGGATAACTTACGACCTCCTAAAGGTACATTGGATTTAGGTCCACAGGAATCAATCATTAAAAACAAAATAATTGACGTATGCAAAGATGTGTTTGAAATACACAATGGATTGCCAATCGAAACCCCAACATTTGAACTACGGTGTAATCTGCAGGATAAGTATGGGGAGGATACTAAACTAATATTTAACCTAGAAGACCAAGGAGGAGATATTTGCTCGCTTAGATATGACTTAACTGTACCTTTTGCAAGATATTTAAGTAGAAATAAAATTCAAAAAATAAGGAAGTATCAAATCGGCAATGTATATCGACGAGATAATCCATCCAAAGGCCGACTACGAGAATTCTCACAAGCTGATTTCGACATCAGTGGAGATAATCTGAAAATGATAGATGAGTCAGAAATAATAAAAATGATTTCAGATATTTTGGAAAAAATAAAAGGTTTTTTCAATCTACCAGATTTTACAATAAGGGTTAATGATAGACGAATACTAATGGGATTGTTGGAATATTGTAAAATTTCAAAAGAACTATGGCCATCTCTATGTAGTACAGTCGATAAAGCTGATAAGCTTACCAAAATGGAAATTGTAAATGAATTTCGTGCAAAAGGATTGAGTGATCTCCAGATAGAAAATGTGCTAGAGTTTATGAATCAAACAGGAACAAATGAGGAAATATTACAGTATTTGAAGAGTAAAGTATCCAACAAATCTGTAGATGTTTCGGTTAAAGTTGAAGATATCAATGATAAGCTTCCATCATTACAAATAAGCGATCTTTCATATTCTAATCCTGTATCAGAGACAGAAGTTGAATCTTCCCCAAACTTTCAAGGAGAATTTAACTCTGCTATTTTAGAAATGGAATTGTTACTGAAATACACAAGGATATATGATATTACAAGGATGAAAATTGATTTGAGCTTAGCAAGAGGCTTGTCATACTATACGGGAATTATAATTGAAGGCAAATACAACAGTGATGAATATGGATCAATTTGTGGTGGGGGAAGGTATGACAATTTATGCGGGTCGATATCAAATCATTCAGTGCAATGTGTAGGATTTTCTATGGGAATTTCCAGAATTTGTGCCTTAATTCAAACGACAAATATGCCAATATTTGACAGTTTAAAAGTATTTGTAGGATCAGGGTTCGGTTTGGTGCTGGAACATCGTATGCGTCTTTTAAACAAGCTTTGGCCAAACTATCGTGCAGAAACATTTACAGGTAAAAGAATAAACTTTAAGGATCAAATTAGTTATTCAATTAAGAATGATTTTAAGGTGGGCGTATTTACTGGAGAAAATGAAGAAAAAGAAGGTAAATTAAATTTGATTAATTTAAAGACTATGGAAAAGCTGGTCATTAGAGAAGATGATATGATCGATGAAATTGATAAAATTATTTCGGATATTAATAAAGCTAATAAAATTTAATCATTTTTAAAAAATATTCAAAATAAAAATTTAAACCAAATAAACATTAAATATTGGAAGTATAGAGAATTCATAAATTGAAACCTCATAAGTGATATTTAAAGTATTTCTGAGACGTCTTTATATACTGTATTATGATACGATTATGCTTAAAATATCCTTACACCTATCACCAAATATCTAATTCTTATAGGACAAAAGTTCTTAAGATTTTTAAAAAATATTTACTAGAAAGTAATTCTAAGTTTTATCTTGGATAATAATTAAACCCTATTTGATTATCAATATTTAATCCTTTCTCAAATCAACAAACTCATGTGTTATTTCTTCTCCATCAAATATGTATAATTCTAGACTATCGCCAGTAAATACATCTCTCTCAGATGCAGAATCAAATGCCTTTTTAACTAATTTAATTGCATCATCAAAGGCTATTCCTTGATAGCCTTCAAAATTCTTTCCATCTATCCATGAATCTAGCAATGGCTGAATCATAGATGTTGCTGTTCCATCAACTCTACAGCTTACACGATCATACGAACCAACACAATCATAGGAATATATTACTGAAGTTTTAATGCCATTACACTCTTCAAATCCAGACAAGCAGCAATATGACCAAAGTGGAAAAAATCTATGAGAATATAGAATGTTGTGTAGGAGATGAGCTACGGCTTTTATTCCTATTTTCTCATGAGATTCGTATTTTTGGATTTCATACAGTAATTTAATATATACTTCATATCCATCTGCATGGAAACCGGTTGTTGTAATAAAGAAATCCCTAATCCTATAAATTTTACTCATATTTCTAGAATTTATAGTGTATCCTGAGTTGTGTCGTGTATCAGCTGCAATAATCAGTTTGTTGTTTATTTTCAATGTAAGTGTAGTCCCACCATTATTTTCATAAAGATCCTCTTCAGAAGCTTCCTTATTGATGTTTGTTGATGTGTACATCTGATTTTTTTGCTTCATTAAAATATCCTCCAGGTTGGTGAAAGTGCTAGCTTTGGAAAATGGTATTGGCTTTTCCTTAAAAAAATTCACTTCTAGTTCTGATTGTTTTAGAACACTTATGTCTATTGAAGGAATACCTTCTAACTCTCTTCTTTCTCGGAAGTTTTTTATTCCAAACATGGGATAAATATTTGGGAATAGAAATATTGGAAAGTTTGTTGGTTAAGAAAGAAAGAAAATTATGAGTATGAAGAAGCAAAGTATAAACTCAATCGAAGTTATAAATACTAGGAAAATTGTAAAAAGGATTCTAACTAACTAATTCCTCCAACTTTTAATAGCTTGGCGAATATATTATGTATTGCTTTATAAACCACTAAACTAACAAGCATCGAAAAAAGCAAAATTACATCATAGTAAACTAAAGTAATAAATTTATTCCACTACTTCAACAATATCTCCATCCTCTTGAATGTGTTCACTCTTCTTTACACAAACAACTTGAATATGGCATGGGCTCTTGTTGAATGCATTCACTCTACCGTGGGCTCTAAAGCATCTACCGTAAATCTTTGGAGCCTTATTTACTGAAACCATCTGAACAATGAGTTCATTGGTATCAATGCTTTTAAGCATTGCATTATTCTTTATATTCTTGAAAACTTTGATCATAAACTCTGCACTCTTTTTGGGCCATCTTCCTTTGGTTGCAGGATAAACTCCGACTTTAAATGCTTTTGCTTGAGATGTATTTCCACAGCCTCTGGCATATCTTCTCATTGGAACACATTCCTTTTTCTCTATAACATTTTGCAAATAGTTGAAGCAGTTCTCCACAGTTCTTCCGCGAAGTGTAGAGCAGGTTTCCCTAGTATTTTTAAATGATACTTTTGCATTTGTAATGCATGCTTTGACCGTATTTTCTTGATCCAAAATCAGAGTGTTGTATTGCTTAGGCATTTGAGGGATCAAAATTTTATGAAAAATTTTTGAAAAATGTAAAAGAGCATTCAACAATACTGGAATGAATACATTATATACAATTATTATTTCCACCAGCCAAAATTAGTTGAAGTTAATAAAGAAAGTCCAGAATGGATTTTGAACCCATAAAGGCATTATTAACAATATTGGTAATTAAGGGGAATTAGACTAGAACCATGTATGTAATATTATAGTCTAATTATTAAGAAGTTAATATTTTCTAAATACTTGTAAAAAAGAGTTATTTCTAAGAATTGAAGATCTTGTATAGTTCATAACCCCTGTAAGGATGAATGCAAATATAATTTAAGTAAGGCCGATTGATATTGTATATATCATTCAATAATCCGTGTGGAACTTATTTATTCATATTATTACAAGCCATTCAATCCAAACAACTTAGCAATATTTGTTGTTTTATGCCCCAATGCCTAAAATTCAAGTAAATAATATTTACGTCAAATATGCTTGGAAATGGAATATTTCTGAGGATATATGCCTGATTTGTCAACAAGACTTCAGTTCAACCTGTGCAACATGTAAACATCCGGTTGATTGTGTTCCTGCCATTGGACAATGTGATCATGTGTTTCACCTTCACTGCATATCAGAGTGGGTCGAGAAAAACAAGCAATGCCCGATTTGCAGAAAGGATTGGTCATCAAAGAAAATACTAAAATATGAAAAACAAATCTGAAGAAGTCATTTCAAAATATTTTAACCCCTTCAATGCAAAATAACTCTGAAAATTTACCAAATGAAATTAAGAATGATAATAATACCAATACTGAGAGTAATTCTTTAAACGACAACTTATTTCACCCCACAAAAATTAATCCAATAAAAAGAATTCTGAAGAACCAACGTAATCCTGCCCAATTTCCAATTGATAAACTCTCTAAAGACCAAATTCTCCAAAACCTTGAAAATATTTCCATTGATACAATACCCATAAAAAATGATATTGAGAAGTTAGAAGAAGAAATTAAAATATTCAAAGAATATTTAATAAAGGATATTTGATGAAATAAATCTTATATTGTTATTTGTTTGATAACCATCTAATAACAAGTTGGATGAAATATTTTAGGTTGATATTTGATTCTATCCATTCGTTAAGTATTGAAAAATATTTTTGATATGAAATGAGAGAATTTTATTTACAACTCTGATAATAATGCTATTGGTCATGAGGTTATACACAGCATTGGCCCATCGAAAGTAATTCCAGCTATAGAATATATTTAAATGAGTCTAATAAGATATATATTACTAACAAGATGATCAGAAAGGACTTAAATCCCAATTACTTTATCACTGAGCTATACTATTTGTATAGTAGATTTAACAAAGTACCATTTCCTAAAGATTAATACATTGATATAAATGAGCTTTTCCTATATCCTCCATATTCCTTTTTATTGCCTTAATTTGATTATTCCAAAAGATCCCTTGAATGACACATAATAGTGAAACAGAAATATTCTATAACAAAATTTTTGTGAAGACAAAGCTCGATAGTTGCGAAAGCAAGAATTTCACGGTGAACTCATTAAAATTAGATTCTTTTGATTCATCAGATAGAATAGATTCAAGCGAAGATGTTCTCAATATTGGAGTTCCAAAATATTCAATGATATACAAGAACAAAGATTATAAATTAGTAAAAAGTAGTAGCTCAATACCCTCGAATTTTTCTCCAGAGATAATTCTAGTGATACTCTGCTGTAAAAAACACTTCTCTGGGACATCTTTGAAATTATTAGACAAGCTGACAAATGAAACCTATAGCATAGAGATAAACTACGTAGATAACCTTAAGGAAAAATCGAAAATCAGCACTGGCGGAAACGAGATGCTAGGGTGTTTTTTACCCTAACTCTATTTTAAATAATAAATCAGTTTATCCAATCCTTTAAGAGACCATATCGGATTGTTCTAAAACATATAACCCTGAAATTAATGTTTATTTCTTCTTAATAAAAGTTTTCTTGTCTCTCAAATTGGTTGTATGTCCACATGAAGCCTTTCGGCATCTAGTAGCTTTAATGGCATTTCTAGCATAACATTTTCTGCATATTTTACGCTTGATAGCATTCAGGGCAAGTAATTTATCTGATTCGGTCAAGTTAGCTCCTCCACACAATAATGGGAGCAATCTAATCGTATCAAAATTATTACAAAAATCAGAAACTAAGGATGTCTTATTGTGGACACTATTTATTCTCCCGTCAATTATACTTTCAAGTTCTTCAAAACTGACGTCCTCTGCGACTTCTATGGCCCTTATTCTTTGTTCAGTTTGGATAAATAGTTTCATGGGTAAAATTTTTACAAAACGTTTTGAGAAATCAGAATTTTTTTGCAGGGATCATTGCATATAGTATATTAGAGGAAGTAATGAATAACAGCAACTATTTGGTACAATATATAATAATTAGTTAATATATAATTCACATGAGTTAACTAAATTTCTAATCTGTGTTAAATAAAGCCTTAGCAAGTAGTTCAATCATAGGAGAGCATATAATCATTTTATTCTGGCTTGATGGTGTCAAGCTATTTTAATGATTCAAAGTATCAAGTTTATATAAAACTGATTGAGCAGGGAATCAAAATAAGTAAAATCACTTGTGTATAGTCTGCATATATATTTAGATTGTACTCAGCAAACCTTTCAAGAGGAATTTTTCGTTTCTTCTAAATATTTTGAGACAAGATTATACAACAATTATATATATTTGAATCAACTTTTTTGGCAAAGGTGGGAATATTAGATTTTCTTTTTTATTTCAACTTGAGAACTGTCCTTTATAATATTTTGATTAACCCTTCATCTGTAAGCATGTTGACGATGACAAAAGACTATTCAATTCGATCGATATTTTTTAATAAATTTCGTAGAAACTTTCCATTACACAACTTACCAGTTCAAACCAGAGAAATTCATAAGGATGGAATTGTTAACTCCTTGATCTTTATGGGGTACAAATTATCATCTGAAGAGAATATAGATGAATGTCCAATCAAGCATATCATAGTGGAATCTATGATGG